GTTTACTCAGCATACCATCATCTTTTATATTGTACCAAATAATTGGCCAATATATTGTGTTTTTGTGCATTAAAAGTAAAAAAAAGTTATTTTTTTTTTAAAAACAATTGCATTTGAAAAATCGCTGTGCGAGTACTATGTGACATAAAAAATTGCAGCACCCACCATTTTATTCATTAGGGTGTTTGCTTTAAAAAAATATATAATGTTTGGGGTTTAAATTAATTTCTTAGCAATACTGATTTTTTTCATGTGAACAAAAAGTGTCAGAAAAGGCTTGGTCTTCAGGTGGTTAAAAAGAGTGAATGATGTGTTTCATAAACTTCTAATGCTGGGCATAAAATGCCCCCCACCCACCAAAACGACCCCTTTTTTGGAAAGTAGACACCCCAAACTATTTTCTGAGAGGCATGTTGAATCAATAGAAGAATTAATTTTTTTACGACAAGTTTTTGGAAAATGACAAACAAAAAAATGTTTTTTTTTTTTTACACAAAATTGTCACTTAAATGATTTATTGCTCACACATGCCATGGGTATATGTGGAATTACTCCCCAAAATACATTCTACTACTGCTCCCAAGTATGGGGGTACCACATGTGAGAGACGTTTTGGCAGTCTAGCCAAGTACAGGACCCCAAAATCCAATAAGCACCTTCAGGGTTTTAAAGGGCTTTATTTCCTCATTACACTTCCTGACTACCTATCAGAGTTTTGGAGGCCCTGGAATGCCAGGATAGCACCAAACCCCCCCAAATGACCACTTTTTGGAAAGTAGACACCCCAAGGAATTTGATAAGAAGCTTGGTGAATATTTTGCAGATCTCGTTTGTTGCCACTTTTTTGGAAAATGGAGAAAAAAAACAAAAACATATTTTTTTTTTTTTTTATATTTCAAAACCTTGTGAGAAAAATGAGATCTGCAAAAAATACTCACCATGCTCCTTTTTAAATTCCTTGGGTTGTCTACTTTCCAAAAAGGGGTCATTTGGGGGGGGGGGGAGAGTTGGTGCTATCCTGGCATTTCAGGGCCTTCAAAACTGTGATAGGTAGTGAGCTTTCAAAGTGGTCATTGGATTTCAGGCTCTTGTATGTGGCTAGGCTCCCAAAAAGTCTTACACATATGGTATCCCCATACTTGGTAGAAGTAGCAGAATGTATTTTGGGGTGTAATTCCACATATGCCCATGGCTTGTGCAAGAAATATATAATTTAAATGACAACTTTGTGTAAAAAAAAAAAAGTTTTTGTCATTTTCCAGAAACTTGTGGAAAAAAAAATAAATCTTCCATGGAGTCAATATGCATCTCAGCAGATAGCTTAGGGTGTCTACTTTCTGAAAAGGGGTCATTTGGGGGTGTTTGTACTATCCTGGTATTTGAGCACCTCAAGAAATGTAATGAGCAGTCAGAAAGTAAAAGCTGTATAAATTCCATTATCTATACCATAGTTTGTAGATTCTATAACTTTCACACAAAGCAATCAATATACACTTATTGGGATTTTTTTAACCCAAAAACATGTAGCAGAATACATTTTGGCCTAAATTTATGACAACAACATTTTTGTTTTCTTTTTAATATTTTTTATTACAGAAATGAGAAAATATAGTTTTTTTTTCCAAAACAATTTTTGTTTATAACGCCAAAAATAAAAAACGCACAGGTGATCAAATACCAACAAAAGAAAGCTCTATTTGTGTGAAAAAAAGGACATAATTTTAATTTATGTACCGTATTGCATGACTGCGCAATTGTTAGTTAAACTAGTGCAGCTCTGTATAGCAAAAAAATGGCGTAAATTGCAGTATCTGTACCATAGTTTGTAGACGCTATAACTTTCACACAAAGCAATCAATATACACTTATTGTGATTTTTTTTTTCCAAAAACATGTAGCAGAATACATTTTGGCCTAAATGTATAACTTTGAGTTTACTACATATTTTTTATATCCGAAAGTAAAAAATATAATTTTTCTTCAAAACTTTTGGTCTTTTTCTGTTTATAGTGCGAAAAATAAAAAGCGCACAGGTGATCAAATACCACCGAAAGAAAGCTCTATTTGTGTGAAAAAAGGACGTTAATTTTGTTTGGGTACAGCGTTGCATGACCGCGCGCAATTATCAGTTGAATTAGTGCAGTGCCGAGTAGCAAAAAGAGGCCAGGTCATTAAGGGGGGTAAATCCTCTAGAGGGAAAATGGTTAAAAATGCAATCCATTTATTCATACAACAGTATAGTATCTATAGTCTCATATTTTTTTTTCACAAAACATCATCATATCCCATAACTAAAAGTTATGGGATACAAAACTGCATATGCTTTATGAGGCAGGACTCTAAAAATGCTACATAACCCAATTATGACTATTGACTGCCAATAAAACATTTGTGCCCAAGTAGGTTTACATTTGGTGTAAAGATACACATAATGTATAGAGTAAATACTAGTGATGCACTGAAATGAAAATTCTGGACCCAAAACCGAAAATTCAGGATGCACTTGACTGAAAACCAAAAAGGACAGTTTTTTTTTAAATATATATTTTTTTAATATATAATTGTATTATATTTTACTTTTTAACCAATTCAATACTGGGCAATTTTACACCTTCCTGCCCAGGCCATTTTTCAGGTATCAGCGCTCTCACACTTTGTATATATGCAGATTAGTGAGCGCACTCTAACAAGCGGCTATTGCACTAAAAGGAACCACAAAACCTGTATAAAATCTGTATAAATTCGACAAAAAATGGAAAGTGCAGCGCTCACACTTTGAATGACAATTGCGCGGTCATACAACATTGTACCCAAACTAAACGTTTATCATTTTCTTCACACAACTAGAGCTTTCTTTTGGTAGTATTTAATCACATTTTTTATTATTTTTTTTTCAGATTTTCTTTTCATATTTCACTATGTCCAAAGTAGTACAATGTTACCATAGTAACACTGTACTACTTTGGGGAAGTGATCAGTATTTTTTTTTTTTTTTTTTTACACAATTTGCTTATAGCAAAGAATTACTTTTCTATAAGCGAGCATTTACCTGAATGACATCGATTCATTCAGGTTTTTTTTTTTTTTTTTGTGCTTAGCTGTGATTTGGCCACAGCTAATCACATGACATGTGCATGTGATTAGCTGTGACCATTCACAGCTAGATACTAGTATACAATGGATGGCATGAATGAAGCCATCCATTGTATACAACTGTCATATGACCTGCTGTGATTGGTCACGGCAGGTCACATGGAACCGGCAACGGGGCCGATACTCAGATCTATCATCGGCCGTGTCCGAGGTACACGGCCAGTGACAGATCGCGCTGCTGCGCGACTCTGCAAGCGCGCGAACTGCACATGTGCGGGAGTACGCCATATGGCGGCCTCCCGGAAAGCTAGTGCATTTTTCCGGACGCCATACGGCTATTGGCCGGGCATCAAATGGTTAATTAATATCATGAATTTAAATGAATATGAATTTAAAAAATACAACCCAGTAATATGAAATTTAAAAAATTTCCCAGGGACGCAATTTTGCAAATAAGTCAAATATCATTATAGTCCGATAATTTTTGGCAGCCGATATATCGGTGCATCACTAGTAAATACTTTTGTAATTGATAAGAACTGAATAACAACTCTCATGGCTGCAGTTGGAGAAAAACCTTAGCTTTATTTTACATGAGAATTGAAACAGCTTCTTAGTGTGCACAAAATAGAAATATAAACTCTAGGTTGTAGATCATTGTACACTACTGCTACTTTATAAGGATAAGGGCAAGAATCCAGATGCTATACCAAATAGCAACATTACAGGTTGTGCAAATTCACGGTGTTGCCCTTCCAAATCATTCACATATATTACTTAACACCCACAAAGAAAATTACCTACTCAGAAATATTAATGTCTCTATAGTGCTGGTGACAAATAAATCTTGTGCACTCTTCTATACACATATGCGGGTGCAACACTCCACTTTTCCACCTGCATGGATTCCAGTGTTGTGCCCCCCTCTGGTGTTCCCACACTCACTGGGATCTATGGACCCTTGCTAAAGCATCAAGAGTCAAAAGTGCTTGTACTGCTGTATCCACTGACACAACTGGGCTCCCTAGTTACACTGTTTGCTGTTGCTCTTCACCACTCCTCCACCATATGGACTTAGCTCTATAAAGATGTCTCTCTCATCATGCAAAAAGACAAAAGAAGGCATAGCATAACTCCTATTAAATATCAGGTACAATTGGTTTACACTCACTTAAAAGATGTAATGAAGGAGTTGAGATCACCGAAAACGGAAGTGCCGTGCAAGCGTGTACTGCATGGACTGGATGTGGCATCACCAGTTGACTCCGTCTAATGCGTTTCACCCCTCCCACAGGGCTTCTTCACTGAAGATAGTAATATAGGTTTGGAAATTTTTTATTTTCACATATAAGGGTTGTGTAACATAGCGTGGCTCAATAGTAATTTCATAAGGTTGTGTAACCAGTCTTGGACTCTAAGTAGTTTGAGCTTGAGACCGCTACTGCCCACCTCAATGTCCAGACGTTTCCACCACTTATTGCTGTACACATGAAAGCTAAATGGACTTTTCTACTTTCTTGAGCACAGCAATTTTTGTACGGTTTAAAAATATTAGTCAGATTAGAACCAGAGTACATGGAGGGCAAGATATGCAGCTGGCAAAGCTACTGATTTTTAGGTGAGCACCAAATATGCAAATCTATGAACAAAGAAGACACAACAAAGGGAAAGTTAATAGAGAAAGCATTTTCTATTTAATATTGGTTCGGAATATTACTTTTAAATAACAGCTTTAATTATGCTGCAATAAAAATACTCCCTGATACTTACAGTCAAATGTCAAGTTGTAATTGTAATTTTCTTGTATTGTATAACAACCAGTATGTCTGTTACCCACAGCATTACAGAATAACATATATTAGTATCCAAACACTGTGTAAACAGTTGGCAGGAAGAGGTTTTGGGTTTTATATTTCCTTGGATGGATCTATAAAGAATTTTCTTTGTGCTTTTCTAGCTTTTTCAATTAACTCAAAAGTTGGCAATCCTTGTGGCAACTCAAGCAAATTGCACTCATTTTCAATAATATTCTCGGCACTACCTGAAATGAAAAAAGAACAGATGTATATTCATTCATCAATGTACACAGTAATACAGGAAATATAAACTACACTAGTCTCTAAGAGTTTTTTCAGTATAATTACAAGAGGTGGTATTACAAAATGAAGGTTTAAAGTTAAACTGCATTCTCGTTGAGAAAACAATAAGCAATCCCCTCCAGGTCAACTATATAGAATAAACATACAGGTACCTTAGTAAACTTTATTACAGATCCTCATCTTTTTCTATAAACATTGTGGGTCTCACTAGCACTTTCTGATTGTGACTGCTAATTGGGAGAGTCTTCCTTCATTATAATTACAGGATCAGCCTTGGAGGGTGCATAGGCATCCTGTTGTGTGGCTCAGATGAGGATTGTGCTGTTTGAGAAAAATATACATGGCCCAATGCTCATTTAGGAATGCTTATGCACCCACTATACTAAAACTGAAAATTGTTAATCACAAGTGCTCCTCTGTCAATTGGACAAGTCACACAGGAAGTAGCAGCAGGTCCCAGTACTACAATAAGATGAAAGCTGTTTTCAGTCTATGGTCAGACATCAAAGATGGAATTTCTATGGCAAGAGATGCATCCAACGCTTTCCCTGCCACAGGCTTTTTTTTTTTCATTTAAAATCCACATTTTAGGCATGAAGAGTACTTAAAATCCCCTAACCACTGTATATCTTCTGAAAGCAGAAACCCTGTTGAATAAAATGTTGGCAGTTGCCTTTTTTTCTCCGTTGCATATGAAATCTATATTTTCAGTAAATATGCAATCCAATGAATTTCTGTAAACACAAACAGAATATCCATTTTTTGGTAAAATAAAAAAGATGATGTAGTGTAAACAGGTACCAAACATGTCATGCCAGGAGCCTGGCGCCGCATCATGGCGCCGCTTGGCTCATTTTATGAATGAGAAAGGAGTCAAGACAAGGACTCAGAGCTGGAGGACTGAGTGGAAGGGGAGCCAAGAGCAGGAGAATACAGAGGATGGAGTGGAGATGATGGCAGAATACACATGGAGAATGGAGATGATGATAGAATACAGAGGATGGAGTGGAGATGATGGTAGAATACAGAGGATAGAGATGATGGTAGAATACAGAGAATAAAGTAGAGATGATGGTAAAATAAAGAGGACAGACAGCGGGAGAATACAAAGGATGGAGATAATGGTAGAATGCAGAGGGTGGTGCGGAGATGATGGTAGAATATACACAGTATGGAGAGTGGGAGAATACAGAGGATGGAACGGAGATGATGGTACAATACAGAGGATGGAGAGGACTGTACAATACAGAGGATGGAGATGATGGAATATATCTGCTGTACTGTATGAAGACAGGTTGGGAGGTATTTTATTAATTTTGTCTCCTTCTGTACTCATTGTTGGAGTGAGATGGGAGGGCAGACAAAAGAGAAGACAGTGAAGTCCATGAAAGGGGGAGAGAAGCGAGACCCCCCTCCCCACACACAGGGATAGGAAGGTGCCTCCAGAGGTGAGTGGTGGAATGGGGGTGGGCAGAGGTGACTGGCAGAGTGGGGGGGGGCAGAGGTGACTGGCAGAATGGGGAGTACAGAGATTAGTTGTGAAATGTAGGAGGGTGCAGAGATGAGTGATGGATTGGGGGGGGGGGGGTGAAGATGAAAAGATGAGTGATGGAATCGGGGTAAGGCCCACTGTCTGCCCCGGTCAAGACTGTGTCACGCACTACAGGACTGAGCTTGGACTCTGGAAAACAGAGGTGATGAGAGGAGCTGCCCAGAGAACCATGACTGACTGCCCTGCAGCAGTGGAGGAAGTCGAGACAGCAATGGAGGAAGTCAGTGACAGACAGCTGCAGCCTCCAGTGGTCACACAAAATCTTTGGGGAAGTCACTGATGTAAGGAGGAATAAATACACTAAGGTAAGGTGGGACACTGATATAAAGATTCCCTCTTATATCAGTAACTCTCCCTTACTTTAGTGTATTCACTTTGCGTAAGGTGTGCTGTTCCTAGCATTCCCCCTTACATCAGAGTCTGCAGGATTCCCCCTTGCAGTGCATGGGGGGAACTCTCTGGACCTTGATATAAAGGGAAACTCTGTGGAGTTTGATGTTAAGGAGAGCTTCATGAACTCTTATGTAAGGGGGGGGGGGGTGCTTACAGTTGCAAGAAAAAGTATGTGAACCCCTTGGGATTATGTGGAGTTTTGCATGAATTGGGCATAAAATGTGCTCTGAACGTCATCTAAGTCACAACAATAGAAGAACACAGTCTGCTGAACATAATACTACACAAACATTAGATGTTGCCATGGTTTAATTGCACATAACATGTAAACATTCACAGTTCAGGGAGGAAAAAGTATGTGAGGCCCTAGCTTAATGACTTCTCCCAGAGCTAATTGGAGCCAGGAGTGAGCCAACCTTGACTCCAATCAGTGTGATGATATTGGAGGTGTTGCTGACAGCTGTCCTGCCCTTAAAAACACACACCTGTTTTGGGTTTACTGGTTTCAAGAAGCACTGTCTGATGTGAACCATGCCACGCAGAAAAGAGCTCTCAGAAGACCTACGATCAAGAATTGTTGACTTGCATGAAGCTGAAAAGGGTTACAAAAGTATCTCCAAAAGCCTTGATGTTCATGTGTCCACGGTAAGACAGACTGTCTACAAATGGAGAAAGTTTAGCACTGTTGCTACTCTCCCTAGGCGTGTCGTCCTGTAAAAATGACTGCAAGAGCACAGCGCAGAATGCTGCATGAGGTAAAGAAGAATCCCAGAGTGTCAGCTAAAGACCTACAGAAATCTCTGGCACATGCTAACTTTTTGTTGACACATCTACAATAAGGAAAACATTAAAAAGAATGGAGTACATGGGAGGACACCACGGAGGAAGCCATTGCTGTCCAAAAAGAATATTGCAGCACGTTTGAAGTTTGCAAAAGAGCACCTGGATGTTCCACAGCACTACTGGCAAAATATACTTTGGACAGATGAAACCAAGATTGAGTTGTTTGGGAAGAACACACAACACTATGTGTGGAGAAAAAAAGGCACAGCACACCAACATCAAAACCTCATCCCCACTGTAAAACATGGCGGAGGGAGCATCATTGTTTGGGGCTGCTTTGCTGCCTCAGGGCCTGGACGGATTGTTGTCATTGATGGGAAAATGAATTCCAGAGTTTATCAAGACATTTTGCAGGAAAACGTACGACCATCTGTCCGCCAACTGAAGCTCCGCAGGATGGGTGATGCAACAGGACAATGACCCAAAGCATACAAGTAATTCAACAAAACAATGGCTGCAACAGCACAGAATACGCCTTCTGGAGTGGCCCAGTCAGAGTCCTGACCTCAACCCCTGAAATGCTGTGGCATGACCTTAAGAGAGCGATGCACACCAGACATCCCAAGAATATTGCTACACTGAAACAATTTTGTGAAGAGGAGTGGTCCAAAATTTCTCCAGATCACTGTGCAGGTCTGATCTGCAACTACAGGAAACGTTTGGTTGAGGTTATTGCTGCCAAAGGAGGGTTCAACCAGTTATTAAGTCCAAGGTTTCACATACTTTTTCCTCCCTGCACCTGTGAATGTTTACATGTTATGTGCAATTAAACCATGGCAACATCTAATGTTTATGTAGTATTATGTTCAGCAGACTGTGTTCTTCTATTGTTGTGACTTACATGACGTTCAGAGCATGCCCAATTCATGCAAAACTCCACGTAATCCAAGGGGTTCACATACTTTTTCTTGCAACTGTACATCAGTTTCCCTTTACACTAGCAGCATTAACCCTTACATCAGAGTTCTCCTTTACATCCAGGTCTGCAGAGTTTCCCTTTACAGTGCAAGGGAGAACTGTGCAGACCCTGAAGTAAGAACCCTGCAGACTCTGATGTAAGGGGGGACTCTGTGCTGGGTTATATTAGCTGTTTCCCCGCCTCCCTATAGCAGAACTACTATATATACGTGATTTTGCATTCCTGAGCATGTGCGCCGCCCTAGGTGGCTACAGATGTTGATCACTGTGTCTCGGCCAGAGATTCCCCGCCGCCACCCCGGTGATCACCTAGGAACAGTGACAGGGGAGAGTTGTATGTGTAAACACAGATCTCTCCCGTCAGCATGAACAGGCTGCTTTGTTTTGTTCTGCACAGCAGAGCAATACAAAGCAGATTGTCTCTCTAGTAAAACACATACAGCACACTATGTAAAACACAACACAGCACACAGTTAACCCTTTGATCACCCTAGATGTTAACCCCTTCCTGCCCAGTGTCAGTACAGTTTCAGTGCTTTTTATTAGCACTGATCACTGTATTAGTGTAATTGGGATGTCAGTAGCACTTAGTCAGTCCCCCCCAGTGTCAGAATGTCCGCTGCAGTCCCGCAGTAATGCCAAAAGCCGCTGATCGCCGCCATTACTAGTATAAAAAAATAAAAATTCCAGTATATATATACTGCCATTTGTAGACGCTATAACTTTCACGTAAACCAAATAATTTACATGTATATAAATTTTTTTTTTAGCAAAGACACGTAGCAGAATACATTTTGGCCTAATTTATAACAAAATGTTTTTTTTATTTTCAAAATTGTCTTTTTTTGTTTATAGTGCAAAAAATAAAAATGCAGACCCGATCAACTATCACAAAAAGAAAGCTCTATCTGTGGGGAAAAAAGGACAAACTTAATTTGGGTGAAGCGTTGCATGACCTCTCAATTGTTAGTAACACAGCGTCGTATCGCAAAAATGGCCTGGTCAGGAAGGTGGGGGGAAGGGGGGTAAATTCTCTGGAGGGCAATTGGTTAACCTGACCTTCATGTAAATGGAGAAATATGTGTTTTGCCTTTTGTTATACCGTAAACATATTGCTAATAGCACTAGTTACATATTTGTAGCTTAAATATTGATATTTGTACTGAAAATAGTCATTTTATGTACTTTTCTGAAGTGTCAGTTAAACATTTGACTCTGTCAGTAAATGTAATGAGT